AAGGAAGGAAGGAAGGAAGGAAGGAAGGAAGGAGGGAGGGAAGGAGGGAAGGAGGGAAGGAGGGAAGGAGGGAAGGAAGGCGGGAAAACAGGAGAGGCTTGCTTTGTAGCTAGGAGGTTATTTCAATGTTCCAGGCAAAAAGCCTAAACCAAAACAATGTTGGAAAAGGACAGTTCAGGCCAGACCATTCAGGAGTAGCAAAGAAATAAGGCTGACGAAGGGACTATCGCTCAGGGACAAGTAATGTCAAGGAAGAATGAAAAGTATTTCCAGGGTTTACACACAGTAATAAAGGATGGTCGTCTGTGTCCCGTAAAATCTCTTTGGGAATAGGAAGGAAGGACGTGGTCCTGATCACCAGAGGAATCCAGGTGCTCACCGGGCGACAACCAGTTCCGTTGGCATCCTGGTAAAAGAGGTGGGTGAAAACGGCAGAATGGGGTCTCTCGAGAAGACGTGGCACTGAGAAGAGCTTGAAGCAGCCACCTTTTGCGTTCCATAGCGAGGGCCTTGGATGAAGCTGTTTGAATTCACAGATGGCACGTTTGCTCCATCATGGCTGATAAACCAACATACATTATCTGCAGTGACGCTACCATTTATTTCAGTATTTTTCTTTGTTCTCGAGAGCTTGGGATAGGTACGGCGGAAGCCCTTAGACCTGGAGTTTGCTGCAATGCCATGTGTGCTTTTGAATTTGCTGGCATCCTCTGATTACTTTATATTAAAGCTTTGCTAAACCTTTGCAGGAAGCAGGAAGGAGGCATTTAAGGAGTGGCAGCGTGAGTGAACTCTGGGTTTAAAAATGACCTTTATTGCCAAAAGCATTTTAAGCCAAGTGAGTGAACGTCTCTATCTGTTGCACAGATTTCCCTGGACACAGTCATTCTCGTGGCATGTGCTAGTTTTCCTCCTAGAGATCCGGTAACGAATAGTCAGTTACTGCTTTGTTTTAGGAACAAGGAGGGCCCTATGCCCCCGAAAGGAGCCTATCAGAGTTCGCTGACACGTTGAAGGAAATCGTATTACCTATTGCCAGCCAAGAAAGTGAGCCACAAGACCTTAGAAACGCAGTGAACTCTTCACTGCCAAGATGGTATCTCAAAAAAAAAAAAAAAAATGACAGTTGAAATTGTCTGTGTTAAGGGTTGGGGAAGGTGAATGGAAGTATAGATTCAGGCTCTTACTTGGGAGAGAAAAGATGGGTCTGTTACTTCCTCTCCTTAATCATTATCCTCTTTAATTTTACTCATGGGAATTCAAACATGTCGTGTGCTGCGGTGAACTCTAGGAAAAACAAGACACAGATATCCCACTTACGGATGTTACCGTCTGCGGAGTGTTTGGCAAGCTAAAATGATGGGTTTTCACGAGCCTTGTGCATTGTTCTTGGTTTCAGGCTTCTGACTGGGCACCTCCGAGAAACTTAGATACACTCTATCGGGCTAAAGCTTACTTACCTGGATTTCGAAAATCCTGTGCTCTCTTCTTTGAGGACAAAATAAATGTGTTTCTTTACCTTTCAAATAGACATAGAATTCCATCCAAAGCAGCCTAAAATCCAACATGAACGGAACACACCTCCCGTGATGCCCTGCCCTCAGTAAGAGGCCCACGCAGCCGACAGACCCAGTTCGGTGAAATCTGATAAACGCAAAACGGGTCGCGATCCATCCTCATGACCTCCCATTGCCTCAAGACCGTAAAGGTCAATGATCGCTGTGTCCATGGCAGATTCCAGGGAAATAAGGATTTTTCAAAATTTTAATTTAGAAAACTCGAGTCGACGAAACATGAGGTGTTGTCATTGAATGCAGCACGTTTCCTAAATTGTACTTTTTAACAAAAGAAATAAAAAGCAGATTTTTTTTTCCCCCTCGTACAATTGAACTTTCTGCTAAAACCCAGCCTCATGTGGACTAAAACTCCTGCCAGGCTAAATTCTCTTTCTAGGCAGCGCTACGATGTTCTTTCTCGTCTTTATTTGAAGCCCCGTGAATTCGCAGGTGGTTGGGACCGCTTCTTCACAAGCCTGCCATCTTGACCGAAACCCAGAAGCAGATTATCTGTGAATACATTAATGTTTATAAACGAACACATAAATAAGAAAGAAAGCTCGTGGCGGTAGCACCTATCATGTTATTTGAAATCAGTGTGCATTCCTTTAAGAGGTGAAACGTTTCCTCGGATGCCGTATATATAATCATGCCGACATATCACACTTGGATACAGTATACAAGATATACTGTGATATACAGTACAAATTATATACGTATTCACACTATCACTGACTATGTGTTATGGTATGCGGTATACCATCTGCTTTATATACCGTGCTATACAGATAGTTTTATAAACATAGACTATATGGAGTAGATAGTATACTATATGGGTGTGAAGTGCATGCACATTAGTATATGTACAGTAGGTAGCATACGAGTATATACGGTGGCATGTAATATACTTTTGCACAGGATGTACTACTACATATAGTAAGTACACTGCGGGCATATAGTCCTTTGTAGTCTTCCATCTGTGACCACATTCTACGTATTCTAATCGATATATCGGCAGAAGTGTGTCACCCTTACTGCGCTCTTACTGCAGGCCAGGAATTTTGAAGCGATTGATTGTTTCACGTTCGCCACTCGGTTCCGGTCCCAATGTGCTCATCTCCTCTATAGACGAGGAGGATCATACGTTCAAGAGAGGCTTGAGAAAGGGTTCGAGATCTCACTGCTGTGAGAAGCCGCGGAGCTTCCTACCACGGAGACGGGCTCAGAGTGGGGGCAAAAGGCTTTCCCTCCGTTAGCAGACAGAGCGCCTGCTGGTCAGCGATGGCATTTGCATCCTGTACGACGCCTGGTGATGTCTGTAGACTTGAGATCTTCCCGGAGGACCTTCTGGTCCACCAGCATCCTGGGGTGTGAGCAGAGGGTAGAGGCAGCTGCATCACACTGCAGCCGAGGACCTGCTCTGGATCCTTCCATCTGAGGTTATATTTTAAAGACAGGGGAGGTGGGATTTCATGACGCAGAATGACCTGTTGCTACTTCGGCGTTTGGCGCACGCCGATGACAAACCCGTGCTAAGAAACAGGTCCCCGTTTCCTGATTTAAGATTCCCTCGTGAAACGTGCACGCCCGTGTGACCTTCTTTCTGTCTGTTTTCCTTCCCTCTGTCCCCAGAGACCCTAACCAGCCCGTCCCTCAGGACACCAAGTTCATCCACACGAAACCCAACCGCTTCGAGGAGGTGGCCTGGTCCAAGTACAACCCGAAGGACCAGCTGTACCTGCACATCGGCCTGAAGCCCCGCGTGCGTGATCACTACCGCGCCACCAAGGTGGCCTTCTGGCTGGAGCTCGTCCCTCACCTGCACAACCTCAACGAGATATTCCAGTACGTGTCGACGACCACCAAGGTCCCTCCCCCCGACATGACGTCATTCCCCTACGGAACCCGGCGGTCTCCGGCCAAGATCTGGCCCACGACCAAGCGGCCGGCCATCACGCCGGCCAACAACCCCAAGAACGCCAAGGACCCTCATAAAACGGGGCCCGAGGACACCACCGTCCTCATCGAAACCAAACGGGACTACTCCACGGAGCTGAGCGTCACCATCGCCGTGGGCGCGTCCTTGCTGTTCCTCAACATCCTGGCCTTCGCCGCGCTGTACTACAAGAAGGACAAGAGACGCCACGAGACGCACAGGCGCCCCAGTCCCCAGAGGAACACGACGAACGACATCGCCCACATGCAGAACGAGGAGATCATGTCGCTGCAGATGAAGCAGCTGGAGCGCGACCACGAGTGCGAGTCCCTGCAGGCGCACGACACGCTCAGGCTCACGTGCCCGCCCGACTACACGCTCACGCTGCGGCGCTCCCCGGATGACATCCCGCTCATGACTCCCAACACCATCACCATGATCCCGAACACGCTGACGGGGATGCAGCCCCTACACACGTTCAACACCTTCAGCGGGGGACAGAACAGTACGAATTTACCCCACGGACATTCGACCACCAGAGTATAGCTTCGCGGGCCCCTCCCCCTCCCCTCGGTCCCTCCGACAGCGACATCCACGGAAGAGAGAAGAGAGCGGAGGAAGCAGCATCTCTCCCGAGGGACGTTTTCCCCGCCCGCGGACCTTGGACAGACGGGGCGCGCAAGGTCGGCCATCGTGTCTCTGCGGACCCAGCAGCACCTTGGCGCTTCCCGTGCGACAGGAGCGACTTCGGACCCCGACGAAATGGGAAACGGACATGTTGCTGTCACGATACCCCTGGAGCGTCACCGCCACCCCAGCGGGCGTGGACCGAGACGAGGACATCGCCCTTTCACGCACCTGGGCGTTCCCAGCGTGACAGCGGGAGCTGACCCTTCTGGAACTTCGCTGGGGACACGTAATGTCTTTTTTTTTTTCTTTTTTTTTTTTTTTAAACAGAATATCAAAAAATAAAAAACAAAAGTTCTTTACGTGCCATACGACAGATGGCTCTCCTTGAGTGAAGACAGAGTGTGTGGGGGCTTTTACCCAGCAGATGCAGCTGTGATCCGGCGAGAAAGAAAAGCGAAATTTTATTATTAAAATAAAAGAACTGACTATGCAGTAACGTACGTACAGCTCTGTGCGAAGAGATCTTTTGCCAGCCTGAACTGTGTTTAAGAAACTTTGTACGAAAAAAAAAAAAAACCACAAACAAAAAGATGTATATAGCTGTGAATTTAAACACACACAAACACACACACACACACACACAGAGAACAGAACAAAACAGCTTTTATTGGTGTTTTCAGTTTCAAAGAGCTTATAGCAAGATTGTGGTCTGTACGTATATAAATATCTATATGCATTAGTCATAGCACCTCTGTTCCCTCTAGGACACGGGGGGGCCTTTCTTAATTACTCGTGGAAAAGGAAGACATGGGCTTCTGTATCGCGTATCATTTGTAGCAGGACGTGATGTCACACGGGGCACTGGGACCGCCTGTGTGACCGGGCTGTCCCCCGTTTCCAGGATGCACACGTGCATGCGACGGCGTTCTTAGGAGACTGTTCTTTTAGGGACCTTTCATTTTCTTCTTTTTTTTTTTTCCTCTGTGTTCTGCCTTCATGGAGTCGCAACACGAACACGGGTCCCCAGAGCGGAGCCCGTGGACAGCCCCGTGGGATCGGAGATGCGCGCGCGGCAGAGCCACGGGCAGGAGAAACACAGATCTCCTTCTGTCGCTCTGCTTCTTTGAGAAGGTTTGGGAAGGGCTGCCTGTCACCCCAGGGTCCTGCCAAAAAGGAAAGAAAGCTTGCCTTTGGTGGGGCCCCCTCCGTGCCATCAACACGGCTCTGTTTTCCCGGCAGCTGCAGAAAGCTCTGGATGGTGCAGTATTCAGTCAGCGGAGCTAATCACGTGGAAGCGGGGCTGGTGTCTTTCCTTTTGTGTGTGTGAGCAGTAAGTCTCTTATTTATCAGTAAGCAGGGTTTTTTTTAATTCTTGACATCGTTCGTGGGATAAGACATATGCTTGTCGGAAAATATTACTTTTCGTGGATTTGTGTCTCTGTCACTGATCAATGAATGGGACAGAAAGAGAACACACAAACAGAAAGGGGTACAGACCATTAAAAGGGGTCTGCCTGGGCTTTCTGGGAGGTTAGCATAGCTTCACTGTCGACATAACGTATGGAAACCGTTCATTCACCTGTTTTACACTGGCGGGCTGGGGACCAGACATTTGTCCCTTCTACACTTAGTCTTTTTCCCATTGTCCCTTTCATCTTCCATAAAAAACAAACAAACAAAAAATACTTTCAGTGTCGTCAAGTGGAAGGAAAAAAGCAGTCACAGTGGCTTTCTATTCTGCCTCTCAAAAATTATCGCAACCTCAGCGAAGAGTAGCCAAAGATATTTGATGATAATATCTTTGTCTTCATCGTAGACACCCAGTCACAGCCTGGGCACGGCGGGCACGCTGCACAGAGGTCCCCCCGCACCCCGCGTCCCTGCCCCTTTCCTCAGCCTCGAATCCCGAACCCCTAAACTAAAACACTAGTCCTCTGTATCAGTGTTTGAAAAGGCCCCTCTCGGAAAAGCCAGTTCTTACACATGCATAAAAGTCACACGCTAAACTCAGCCATTCATCTCGCTTGCCTTGGCGACCGATTCTCTGTATATACATGTGTGTGAAATCGTAGAACCCCCCACTTGGCACACAGTGAGGAGACGCTTCTGCCGCCAGAGGTATCATGGATGAGATGTTTGTTCCCAGTCTTCGAAAGCCACTGTCAGACCGTTCCTGCCCGCTCTGTACTATTTCCCGGCTGGGCTACCACAAAATAGACTGTCCATCATATCACAGAGGAGGTGATGCTTGCCATCGATGTTGGTCCGGTATGTTTGTAATGTGAATTCCAGTATTTCTTTCGTGTTTCCAATTGTCTTCTGCTAGCAATATGCACAGTAATGTATCAGGCTTGTGACATTTGGATAAGGAAAAAAAACAAAACAAAAAAAAAACAGAGTTCTTGTTAAGTGAATAACTTTAGCTTTTACAGAGGATTATGCTCAAAAGCAATTTAATACACCTTAAACGATATCTTATTTCTACATGGAAAGAAGTTATAGAGTCTTCATAGAGTTCTATGAGAATAAAATATACTTGCTATCTAGAAAAAAGAGAAAAAAAATGAGAAAAAAAATAAGTAAAAAAAAAAAAAATACTTTCTTAGGCTTTTATTCTCGACCTTCACAGGCACGCAGGGTTTAATGGTTTCTTGGGTTATTATTTTGCAATTTTGTTTTTGATTTTGCCTTAAGTAATGATAGAAGATATATATGGCTGGACACATATGTATAAACTTTTCAGCAGCATTTTTAATAATAAAATATCACAGTATTTTCTAATGCTTTGTGCAAATAATTTTGCGTCCATTTTTTTTTTCCGTAGGCGGTTCAAAAATCTTCTTTTCCCTCTTCGAACACCTTCTTCATTTTAAAAGTTAAGCCACACCTATGACATGGGTTGTAAACTGAAAACTCAGTTGGTCACGGGTAGATTTCTTATGGTTCGGTGCGCGGTTTTTGTGCAGGCCTGGGTCAGTTCTATGGGCCTGACGTTGGGGAACGAAGCTCTGGATGGGGAAGCTCATGATAGAAAAACGTTTGCCGAAGCGGAAGGCTCCCACGTGTTCTCCCCCAGGTCTTTCTTAAAGCCTCTGTGTTTTGACTTGTGTTTGATATAATAATGCCTGAAAGCTTTCGAAGACAGAGCCCCATCTGAGCAAATCTTCAAGTGACAGCGACAAATTCTACTGAATAAAATTCGAGAGACAGAAGTGATCATGAGAGCAGTAGGAGGAGGAAAGACGTCAGGTTCCTCATTTGACACCCACAACCGTATTTATCTTAAAAGTGAAGAAGTTGAGAGTCAGAAAGTTGAAACTGCTAGGTAAGCAAGGGAGAGATATATCAGTAAAGATTTCTAGCTCAGGCTCATGCATCTCATGACAGTATTGGCCAATAACGATCAGATGATGAGAAAGCAAGGTTGCTGTTCGCTACGTCTGAATTCCGAAATGTTTTAGATGTTGGACTCGGGTCATTGGTTGAATATAAGACACACAGGACACAGAAGGTAGATATTATATATTATAAAAAATGACATATCTAACAATAATGATAAATTGTTTTACATTATTTTAATTTTGTTACAATAAACATACATTTTCATACAAAATGTTAAAATAGTTGATAATTATATATATGACTCTATATAATCTATAATACATATTAATTTTATTACTTATAATATGAGACATTTAGAAACATAAAATAGTATACATCACATAACATACTATGTGATTCCTTCTACATATTTACATACATTTATATATTACATTTATTCTGTAATAATATATATTCTCATACATATATGTATGTAGAATACACACATTCAATGTAAGTGCCATTTTCATGGATTTAAATAAAATCTGCAGCAAATTTTAGGTCTAGGGGGAGTCACTTTTTTACCATTCTGTGCCTTCCTAGCGTTCTGCGTATCGGCAGCTCACAGGCACACGTTCGTCCATTTGCCATAACTGGACCCAGCACCTCACTGCGCCCCAACCTGTTCCGGGGCTGGCGTTAAACATGGACACAGGTCTTCGCATCCTGAGGGTCGACATGGATGAGAGGGACATGCACGGACGGGAGTGTCAGTGGGGGTTGGACGTGGTAGGCACGGTGCCCCTGGCAGTGTAGACACGGCCCTGTAACGTGCTCTGGGAGCAGTGGGCAGCATTTCTGTAGGAAGCCACCCCGAGCCACGCGTCTCCCCATTTCCAGGCGTCCACGTCGAGGGGCCCCACGATGGTGGGACCTCTGCGAGGACGCAGCTCCACGTCTTTGAAGTGAGAAGACAGAGCATCTTGGAGAACCGTGGCTTTTCTGTCACGGCTGGAATGAGGAGGTGTCGCGGGAAACGTGTGTGGGATGTGACGTGCACAGCATCCAGCTGAGAAAATGCCTCCCGTCACAAGACTCGTAGTTTGCACCCTGGCCTGAGTTCGAGCAGGAGGCCGAGAAAAGCTGCTCTGAAGTGGCGTGAGCGGATTTGCGCTGTTCGATGGCAGTGTTCACACGCGCCCGCTGTGAGGTCTTGGTGGCCCCCAGGCTGCACGCAGAACAGCTGTGATTCAGCAGGGGCTGCGTGGACTGTGGGCTCTGCGTGTCTCACGAGCCTTCAAACGGATACAGAGCTCGCTGCCCCCTCCTCCCAACCATCCCCACCTCTCTTGAGGGTCAAGATACAGAGGGTTTTCTCCAGAACGTAGCCATAGGAGTGGCCTGAGGTGAGGGGCCTGGGAGTAGGTGAGCCAGGTGAGTAGGCAGCTAGAGCCACCTGTCTGAGAAATTACTGACTTGTCCTTTTAGGAACGATGAGCAGGAGCACATTCGAGTGTGTGGCTTGCTTCTGGAGAGACGGGGCTCCTGCAGGTACACCGACCTGTCCGATGAGCGGTCACGTGGGCTGGACAGAGAATGGGGTTCCTACTGGGTGCTTTTTGGAGGCTACAAAGAGCAAGAATTGGTTCTGGGCTGCTTGCTCTCAGCATAATCGGATGTCGACTGTTAGCCAGAAGTGGGAGGACAAAGGATGGCTAGCGTTGCCAGTAGAGAAAGGCTGGCATAAAGGGAATGTTGGCCCCATCTTAGTGGCGGCCAACTGTCCTTGTTTTTGCCTTAGCCCATGGCAATTGTGGTGACCTTCACCCATGTTCACTTAGAATTATAGTCAACCCTTGAACAACACGGTGTTAGGAGCCCCAAGCACCGTGCAGTCAAAAATCCACGTACAACCTTTGAGTCCCTAAAAGTTGAACTACTACTAGCTCACTGCTGGCTGGAAGCCGTACTCATAACATAAAGAGACTATAAACATATTTCGTACATTATTATATACTGTATTCTTACAATAAAGTAAGCTCGAGAAAAGGAAATGTGATAATATCATCAGGAAGAGGAAATGCATGCAGAACATGCACGGTAGCAAAACTATGCATTGGCATCATCTGTTTAAAAGATGAACCAGATGAATCGTCTTACTGTCTGCATCCATGTTGTCTACCAAATGCCGTCGATGCTATACGCCTTAGTAACAGCAGACATCAAAAATGGAAACGAAACGTGAAATATTTATGTCGAGGTGTAATGATTCGTGCACGGATGAGAAAAACGCGTTGACAAGATGACTTTATGGCGGCCAGCGTCATCGATACAATCGCTTCACGGTAGCCAGAAAATATCCAGAAATGTTCTAATATATTTGTTTTAGAAGCCCGGGGGCCAGTGGACCCATGCCTGCCGTTCAAGGCCGTGCTCTTCATGGGTCAGCTGGATTTTTACAGGCGGGGCTTCCGGCGTGACGTGCCCACGTGTTGTCAGCCTCGTTCCCAGCAGTCAGGGAGTGAGGCTGGTTTTTCCTTTGTTGGAACTCTCTCAGAATGAACTCATCCCCTTGTGTCTTCTACGTCATCCAATGAAGAAAAAAAAATAAACTCTAGGTTGTGTTTCTTCCGGCAAGGGCGTTAGGGAACAGAGGGAAGAAAGCCTTCAGGTTCACGTTCGGCCAAGGAGAAGACACACCTGGTTAGGAGGAATAGGCACAGGCACCAGAGAGAAGCTTTCCGACTGTGTCCCGAGCTCGTCACCTCCTAGGACTGGGCTGGTGACTCTGGGCAGTGAGAGGAGTGACCGAGGGCCACAGCTGGATCACTCCTTGAAATGACAACTCCATCCCCTCCTCCCAGGCCTGAACGCAGGGCCTTGGACTTGAGTGTTCTCCCATTGATGGCGGAAGGAAATGGGGAGGTCCATTTCCGTCACCCTTACATGCAACCTTAAAAATATCCCATTAAAACTGGACTGCAATAGAGTCATTCTTGGGCTCCAGGGGTAAGATCTATCACACCTTCTCCTGTGACCATATATATCAGCCCCACCTGCATGCAGCATGTTTCTATGGAGATGTGTGTTATTTATGAAGATGACTTTCAAACCATGCATCATATTGGGGTTGCAGGATTACTACGGTATTGTTATGTACTAGTCTTTGGCATGATATAGGTCATATTGAAAGTCATCTTTTTCTAACTTACGGTAGCAAAAATACGTAAGACAATGAGAACACACATTGCTGACCAAGAGATTTTTTTAAGTATTGAGTGGACCATTTAAAGAGTAATTACTTGCTTTGAATCTTAAAACCTGCAGATCATGAGAAAAATGTATCATTCTGGGTAGGTTATATGCATCAGGTCCTACCCCCTCCCCCTACTGATGAAGATTCTTCCATTTTACAGATGAAGAAACAGGTGAAGGTGATTAAATGAGTGGCATTGTCAGGATATAAAATAGAATTTGAAAACGCATAATTTTGCTCTTGAGGGCTTATCAACTATTCTGTAATGTACCTGGTTAGTACAGGCATATATGCCCCCACCAACGTAGGAATTTTGCAAAACATAAATTAAGAAAAAAAATCACCATTATTTTTCTATGCCTTGAGAAGATGCATAGCTTTAAATTTTAAACCTCTCTCGTACACACACAAACACACGTACACACACACAGAATGGCACACAGAGACAGATGAGATTCGGAGTGTCTATAGTTTTGTGAGTGTCAGTTTATTTATGAAAAAAGAAGGTATCAGTTTTGCCTACCGTTTTATTTAAGAGTTCAGGTTGGTTTTCTGCCATTAAGCACTGGAATCTCGCTTTTGCAGAAATGACATTTTAAATGTTATTTTATGTCAGATGCGGTGCCTGCATCTGACCTGAACAGGTCAGTATCGAACACGAAGCTTCTGCATACTGAGGTCGGAGAATAGAAAGAAGACAGAGTTACACCAGGAAACATTACACATCATTTATAACACAGGACAAAAAAACCGGCCGCTGCCGCAAAAAAAAAATCAGTGACCAAGCCTCTCATAAAAACAGCTTTTCAAAGAAGCCGCATTTGGGTGACGTGAGTGAAAGCGGACAGAAGTCTGTTCATAGCCAGATATTCGTGTACAGGCGACGTGAACGGTGTGTCCTCAGCACGTGCTCTGTGTAATGTGTGGCTGTAACAATAACGCATGGGCTCCCACTTGTCCCCATGGGAATGCAAACCCCATTTCCCAAGACACGTGCAACGTCAAGAAACTTTATAATCTGTTGTTCCTTCAGTCACCAATCCCATGGGGCCGTTTCACAAGCTCCGTGCACTGTCCTGACGTCATTGGAAGAGAATGTGGACACTGACTGTGGACAGATCTCGGGTTCTGGAAAACAACCCATGTCCATCTAATGTTATTTAGGAAAACCAATTCCAGCTAAATTTTCTATCACCTACTTATA